GAGCTGCAAAAAAAAAAGAGAACCCCCCCCCCCCCCCCCCCCACCCCGTCCAACAAAACACACACACACACACACACGCACACAAAACGCGCTTTCAGCGCCTCCCTCCTCCCGTCCAACAAAACAAAAACACATGCAAACGCGATTCCAAGCCATCAACACAACAAAAGGCGCTCTGCCAGCCTGTTGCGACTAGACACCCACCTGGAATCCTCTCGCCAAGAGAGCCGCCTCCTCCGCGTCTTTAGCGACGAGGTCCACCGTCCTAGCGGGGAACACGAGCTGGAAGCTCTTGTCTACATCCCCGTCGAAGCAGAACGGTTCGTCCAGCTGGTCTGCCATCTCCACCTGCAGGTAAAGCGGTGGGGGCGGGGGGCGGGGGGGCGGGGGCGGTACTCAGGTTCTGCATGCCGTAGCGGTTTGACCATCGGCCATGCATCCTCGTGCTTCGTACGCCCTAGCGGTGACACGGTTGGACCACGCATCATCATGCTTTGCATGCCCTGTAGCGGCTAGGCCATTGACCACACGTCCTCATGTCTTGGCGTGCCCTATATCATTGACCACGCGTCCGCCTGTTTTGCATGCTTTAGCGGTTAGACCACGCGTGCCCGAGAGGACTGAGCATTGTTCCCACAGGACCCATCACCGATGGTCAATCGAAGGTGAGCGGTGGGGGGGGGGGGGGCGCTTGTATGTTCTGAATGCCTTAGCGGTTAGACCATTGACCACGCGTCCTCAAGAGACGGAGCATTGTTCCCACAGGACCGATCATCGTAGGTGAGCGGGGGAAGGACACAAAGAGACTCCTGACCGACAAGGCGGTCCATTGGTCACGCCCCCCCCCATCCCTTGCGAAGACCAAACACATCCTGTGTGTGATCGTGCGTATTTCCATGTATAACAGCATCGATCGCGCTAACCAATGAAAATACGTCAATCTCAGCGCCGCTGAAAGCCGAAAACTCTTCTCCAGGCCATGATCGGGGACCCCGTGACGTGTGTGTGTGTGTGTGTGTGTGCTGCTGTGTTTGTCCCGTCTATTCCCGCGCCATTCTACACACCTTTCGTCGCGAATACCGCTGTGTGACGAATCACCCGGGGTCACGCAGGGCACCCAACTCTCCTACAAAGAGGAACGTAGGAATTCATTCGGGCCTCTCTTTTCTTCCCAAACGAGTCCATGCTTAGCGGGAACGGCTGGGTGGTGAGGGTACGCACTACAACACGGGCGATGGTCACCAGCGAACCAAAGAAAAGACCCCCACCCACAGGCTCGACAACCCACCAACCTTCACGAGCGAACAAACCCACCCAAACGCTTCGGGGAAACGACACGACCGCACCTTAATGAGCGAGGCCACCGCTAGCGGCTGCTCCTTCTTGATGGACAGAAGCGACGACCGGTGCGGCGAGCCTCTCCCCGGCTCATTCCACCACAGCATCCTCTCCTGCCGGTCGTAGAACAGTGCGCGCACCTTGGCCCTCCCCTGCCGGTTGATCTTCGTCACGATCAGCCCCCCCCCCAGCTTCTCCTCAAACCCGGCCAGGTCGAAGGCGGGTTCAGCGGGGGCAGGCGCCGCCGCCACCGCCGCGGGCCTGCTACCGGAAGAAGACTGAGAGCCGTTCCTCGAGTTGTACTCCGACGGTCCGCCCTGCGATCTCGACCCCGCGCCTACGGCGGCGCCTGCGGCGCCAGCCGCCCCAACCTTTCCCATCCCCACCGCACCCTTCGGCGCCGGTCGCATCGCTTCGACGCCCGCACCGCTACTGTTACGGCCGCGAACGCGACGGCCGCCGTTACCGCCGCCGCCGCCAGCAGCAGCAGCACCGCGAGCGTCTACGTTCTCCCGACCGCCGGCGGCGGAATCGGCAGAGGACAGCGGGGGCTGCCGCGATCTGCCTCCACCGCCGCTACCGCTTGCGCCGCTCCTGGACCCCCCGCCCCCGCCGCTCCCGGCGCGCGTAAGCGGCTCCATGGTCGGCACGTGGTCAGGTTGTCGCTGCTGCTGTTTTTTTTCGTCGTCTTGCGCGGTGGGAATCGGGCCGGAGGCCGAAGCCCCCGCTCTCCAGGCGTTCCTCTGTTCGGTTCGGTCGGACCTTGTCGCGTCGGAGATCGAGGCCGCTCGGGAGACCGCCTGCTGCGGCGTAGGGGGCGCACACACAAATACACAAAAAAATACGCGTCTTTTCAATGGTTAGCCGGTCAGCGCGGTCGATGCGAGGTTAGGAAACACAAACAAGGTGTGCAAACGAGCGAAAACTTTGCTCCAGAAGCGCAACACACCAATACATACTACCCATGGTTCCATTTTTCCGCCTCGAGAGTCCATACCATCGCTATCTTTTCTCTCCCCTCCCTCACACGGTAGAACAAACCCCCTTGCGGACAATGTCCTCATTTTCAGCTATCAGAACCTCCAAAGCAGGAAACAAACAATCCAACAATCCGGATTGACGGCAAACCAAAGAGAGACAGCAAGCGTTTCGACCAATCCGGATCACCGACAAACCAAAAAGAGACAACCAAGACTTCGACCAATCCGGATTGGTGACAAACCACAAAGAGACGAGGAACATTTCAACCAATCCGGAATTGACCACAAACATAGCTCTTCCTCACCTTGGCGGAATAGCCCGCAGCAGCGTATACGTTTCGGGAGGGCTCCGATAAACATGGCGCTGATCCGTAAAGCTCCTGTTGTGTCCAGCGTCGTCGTCGCATGATGTTCGTGAAATCGAAAAAACGGCGCGTTTGGGGAGAGGAAGCGGGGGGGCCGCGGAGGGGGGGTCCTGTAAGGTATCGCTCGAGTGTCTGCCTTTTTTTTTCTTCTAAATATGACCCAACGAATCCATCTCTATCTAAGAAAAGAGTCTAAGATAGATTAGCGACAACTTCAGCGTCAGAGAAGCTACCTGTATTTCCACGTTTTCCCGAGCAGAACACAGCGATATCTCCCCTTAACAGGCGCAACAAGACAGTTTGGTGGCCTTCTTGGCATCTTTTTATATTTTTCATCCGTTTACATCAGCGTGAACAGCATTTCTGCCGGGTAGGAGCGCTTCAACCCTTGACCACGTGTCTATCATATAGAAGTATATCACATACCTTTGCGTGACCTCTGCAGCTGTGTATTCTACATACGAAGCGGTGCATCATGAAATAAGGTACAGCTCGGCGGCAAAACGCGATTTCGTCGACGGAACATCTACTACAACAACGGCAGAGGGATCACGCGTGGTGCCTGGGTGCGTGCCTCTCTGGAGACCTTGCGTGGCGTCGTGTGATTCAAGGAGAAGACAACCCTGGCAGAGAATGTTTAAACCCGTTCATCACGGGCGTGCCCCCCACATAGCCGCCAAGACACCGTAGGTGACGCAAGATACCACGCCCCCTGGACCGATTATTGATGGCTCCACAGCGGCAAGGGTGATGTTGCCAAATAATTGCGGCGTCGGAACCGTCTCTTTGAGAGCTTTCCGAACACTTGACTTTATACGTCCTCTTCGTCGTGGAGTAATGGAGCTGTCAAAAATCAATCCAGGGTGTGTGCGGTGGGGGCGGGATATCTTGAAGACGGTTTGCAGCGGGCAATCTTGAAGCGGCTGGACACGTGTGCTCGCTACCCGAAAGAAGGGGGTTCACGTTCAAGCGGGGGACGTGAACTGGATGTTGCGGCCCAGAAATAGACCTCGGAAAGGTCACGACCGATTTCACCGTGCACAGATGTTTAGCCATTGCCGGCTAAGCTGCACGCGGAGGGCTCTGATGAAGCTGTCAGCAACCGGTCGACAAACTCGTCCGTCGTCAGAATCGGGTCCTACCTTAGGTGACACAGCAGGTGTCAAAGGCACACGTACTTAAACCATACGTGAATGTAGATTCTCCGAGAACGGAATAACACGTGGAATGGCACTGCAGATTTCCCGAGAGTACATACGTACGTACGCCAACGGCGTCGTCGTTTGTGACTGCTGTTGCCCGCGGGGGCGCGTGAAGCCAGGCGTGAAAACGATACACAGGTTACGCCGCAAGACCAGCCTAGCACCTGTCCACGGTGCGCTTCCCTCACATCAGCCGGTGCTACTGCTGAAAGAGGCAGAGAGATGACACCCCCCCCCGAGAACGACTTTGCAAGCTCCATTCCTGTACAATCAATGGGGTGCGGAAAGAGCCCGATACGTCTACGGAAAGCCCTCGACAAGATGTTCCAAACCCGACGCCATTGGTGTTGGCTATCTACAATCTTTGGAGCAATCAAGCTTTTTTTGGGGGGGGAGGGTGGTACCTCTCCGCCTCTATCGGTATTGGGGTTCGGGATTGAGGGTAGAGGAAACCGGAAAGCATAAACACAGATTGTCGTGTGCTGTACCAACCATTTGGTTTCGACAAGTCGCGAGGTCATCTCACGTATACACCGCGTCGGGGGGCAAATAATGCGGTGCGGTGCTACATATTTGTACTTGTATCGGATAAGTATGGATGTATTCTTCCAAAAAAACATGGTTGTGACACACACTGCTGTTGGCACTGCGATAAATATGTAGACGCGCACACGATCTAACGGCAACAGAATATCAAGGGGGATGCTGAAACAACGGCGGGAGATTCGAACCCACTACTGCTGTACCCTTCAAGATGAAAAAATCAGGGACAAACTTATTGCCTTCAAAACGCTTTTTCTGCCTGCATGCACAGGGTACGTACGTGGAATGCAGACGACATGGGGGTTTGGTAAAGCTCAGACCAGGCTGGGATATATATCCAAGGCTACCGTTGGGTCCAACAAACTCCGCCGAAATCGGATCTACAACCCGCCACCGCCGTCCGTAGTCATAGCTGCCCATCGGTGTTAAAGGAAAGGCATCTGTCCATATGGTGTGAACTGCTGTTCCTGTAGACCGGGAGATGAGGTTTAAGCTAAATAGATGAGAGCTCGGATTCAGATGCGTGCGGGATATATGGGGATGTATGTGCGCGGGCTTTCCGAACTCAGCAGCAGCCATCCAAGGCAGGGACATGACAAATCGAAAGCACCTCGTCAACAGGATGAACCTACATACGGAGAAGGATATGATTACGATAGGACTCCTGTATATAATAACACGGAAAAGACGGAAAGACCTTCGCTGGCTCGTCTTGAAGTTGTGCGTATAAGTAGACCTTTTTTTTTTTTCTTTTTCACCTATACACACAACAGGGTAACAGCAGTTTTTGGAATTGTAGTTGCAGATTGCAGACGGCGGCGTGCGGGGAGGGGAATGTAAGCGGCGTGATATTAATGCCGACGGAAGCACCGAACCCCAACGGATACTCCGTATTATCTTTGCCCGTGACCCTTGACCGAACCCTTACCCTTCCAACTCGGCTGTCTCGTGTCTTACCCTCTCCCCCGGTTCGGTTCTCAAAATTAATACCATGGTAGTCGAAATTTATAGTCCAAATCAAGATGGTTGTCGGCGTCCCGTTGAGACAGAAAACCCTTCCGCTTACTTCACACTAAAAGCTACAGGTTAGAAGTACTTTCTTCTATGTACAACAGTAGATAACATTTAACTCTTGCTCATTCTCTGTGCGTGTAAGCATCGACCGTGTGTGTCCTCGACCGTGTGTGTATTTTGTGTGTATGCATATGTTAGAAGTATAATAGCATAATTCGCATGCATAAGGAAGGTTAACATCAAGCGGGTATTTCCTCGAAAGTTCTCTTAGTAGGGAGGGGCAAGGCATTCCGCCATAATAAACGGTGCTGTGGTGCTGTCGGAGGACGAGGGGCGACCCTTCGTTCGAACGCCGGCGGGACCCTTGGGGTTTTCTGACTGGACCGCGACCAACAAGCTGCTGCGATTTAACTACCACAAGTCGTAATCATTTTTCCTTAACAATATCTACCCTCCCACCAGGTCGACTTATAACCGTACCACCACGTACGCAAATGTCTCCAAAAGAGCACACACCGCTGAACCACGGGTGTAGTAGACAACTCCAGAGAACGGCGGTGAACGACTGAAAGGGGAGGGGGGGGGCGCAAAGCGAGCCCTAGCGGCGAATGCGAGGGTGGTGGTGGTTCAGTGTGCACGCGCGTCGTTCATCTATCTCGTTGGGCGTAGGCAGGCTATTTAGAGCCGTTGTGAGCGCTGCTTCGGTGAGTCTGCCCCTTCCTACTCCCGGCGCCATCTTGCCGCGCCACACCCCGACAAGACTGGTAGGCGCCGCGGCCAAGGAGAGGGTCCGTACGCCACGTGCGTCTAAACCCCCCCGCTCGCTTGATATTGCATGCCTCCCCCCCTCGCCCACATCCAGTCCCCGAACCAAACAGCGAGAGAGAAGAGGTGCTTGACGCTGAGGTCTTGAAATTCAAACTTGAGAGATTTGAGCAACTCAACGCCCCCTATGGCAAGTACTCCAAGCGTTTGGAAGACTCGGCTCACAAAGGGAGGATACAGCGTCGAATAACCATCCGCAACGACTCGTTCTGCAGCTCCACCAGGCACAGGCTAGGCTGTAGTATACCACGCTTGTCGTCATTGTTCTTTGCCCCTAATACAAAAGCGGCGAGCAGGCCAAACATTTTTCGCGCCGCTGGAAATGTACTTGAGGATGAAAAAACAAAAAACAATTTCAATTCTCAAAAGCGGCGCGCTGTGGCTGACCTTCCGGCGTAGATCTGCCGCCGTCTGCGGCTTGGGCAGTGGGTCCTGCTCCATGTCCTCGTAGTCGTGGTCTGCTTCGTCCTTACTACTGGCCAGCAGGCCACAGCACGCCTTGAAGTTCATGTTTAAGTGGTCTCGTGATCGCAAGCGCGAGCGGGTGCTCCGCTGTGTCTCCTCACAGCCCCAGGCGGGCGTCCCCACAAGCTGTACCAAAATTCTTGTATGCGGCGGTATTGTTCCCATTCGCGTAGACCCCGACTCTCGCTCCGCGCAAGAGCCAACGACCGCCGCACAGCAGTGTGCCGCACATCCGCACATGATATGACCAAACTCTCGCCCCCCCGCGTACGTCACCCTCCTCCCTTCTCTCAATTTATTCGAGAAAGAGCATGCAAAAGGGATGCTCCACGAACGTTCCGCACCTAAGGCAAAGTCTATATCTTGATAGAACTAAATAACAGCAACAACAACAACGACGACGACGGCCTACAAAGTTTTGTTGTATAGGTACAGATATTATATCCGTTACACAGCGGTCTATATCTTGATATAACTACATACAACACCAGTTACACAAACAGACGGGATGGATCTTGGATGTAGCATATGTTGCCCCCGCACATATGTAGACAACGTGTACGCGCTGATGGGGGAGACGTTGCTGAAAATATTCGTTGACAAGTCGGGGCGTCGGGACGTTGGGATTGGTTTTGCTCTGTATTGTAGGTGTTCTTCATACCACTAACGGTGCTCCATGCCGCCAACGCGTGGTACCCCGCTATATACTCTTTATGCCACACACCGAAGACAGTAAGCACGGAAGACCTGATGATAATGCGGTGCTCCTTACATAGGAACGGTGCAAGGGGGATGATGACCGTTGCGTGTGACTGGGTCTGGGAAAGGAAAGAAAGTGATACTTTATCCTTGTGGGAGACGAAGGGAACAACGAAGCTGCCACGGGAAAAACGCCGGAAGTTTGGCAGTGCTGGATGTATACGCAATACATTACAGGGAGGGGCGGGAGAGGAAACACCAGACAACACCGTGTTAGGTATTTCCCTCGACTCTTTGCTGTTGATGTAGAGTGTAGAGTCCTCGACGAACGACGGCGCGAGATATGACCTTACTCCCACGTTACCGCCCCCCCTCCCATTTTAGAGCCACATTTTCTTGTTCGTGTACCTGGAGAAGAGAAAAGACGACTACGTCTTTTCTCTTGTCGACGTCGTAGGGAGAGTCATCCGACGATAGATAGTAATAGTGGGGGTACACTGCACGATCCGCGTACTGTAGCCCCACGATATGTTGTTGCGGTTGTCTGCACTCTATGAAGCGTTCGTTCCGATCTCTCTACCCAGTGCCTTCATCTTATGTCCGTACTGATCTAGCACTTGATGCCGTCGATTCCCGTGATCACAGGCTAACCTACTGTATATCGGCTCCTAGTCCCCGCCCTCTAGACTACTGTATATAGATAGAATTGTGGGATGGCTCGAAAGCGGAACACGACCACCCGCTGGCGGCGACGAATCGATTCACTTCTTTCAATTCTGACACAGCTAGCTGACCTCGAGGACATGAAACTTCCCGCCACTCTGGCAAACACGTTTCTCTCCTCACTCACCGCGAACGACTTCCAACGCATCCCTTCGATTGGCCTAGTATCTCGAACAACAGGACCAACAGGTAAAACCGCGATCGATGGGTCGCGTTCTCTCAAGCACATCAAGCGTTCGCGCGATCCATCAAAGCAAGAGTCAGCTAAAGTCTTTCTTTGCGCTCGGTGACCAACAGGACAGCGAGGAGCAACAGCAGCAATTAAATCGCTGCTGCCCATCCAAGTTGGAGGAGGAGGGCATACTGTAACGGCGTAGGCAATGAACGGCCTACCCAGACACATGTGGCCGCCCCCCAGGGTTAAAACTATCCAAAATAATTGTGCTTCGATGACTAGATGTTACGTTGTTACGTCGCAACATAAACGGAACCTTTTCCAGAAAACTGAAACCCCCCATTTTCTGGAAACTGAAACCTCCCAAACAGGGGCTGAAACAGTAGTTTAGAATAGTACCATTCTATAATTTTCATTCATCAGGGCCAACTTGGGCCAACGTTGAAACTTGCTCACACTTTCTCTTGTGGTGTTCCACACGCGTGACGGCGCGCGTCCCATTACGCCACAAACTGGTTTTCGACCGTACATATTAGTACTACAACTGAGCGTGCTGTATTACCACGGAAGCTGGTTCTCGACCATACACAGGAGTACTTATACTCAAGCAGCGCTGTCTCTACCGCGGGTCCCCCTCCTTGTCTACGGCCTCGCAAAACTCTTCCTCGATCGTGGTGGCCACGGAGGCGAACGAGCAGTCCGAGTATCCCGACCTGACAGTCTCGTCGATCTGTTTCTCTCACGAAGGTTGGCACATCGAGAGCAGCGGCAGCACGGCACACATGGGGGCGGCGGGGGAAAGGGTGGGGGGGGTGTACTCATAGTCGTGCATGCCGTAGTCGTTTGACCATTGACCTCGCATCCCTACAAAGCCGGGACGGAGCACGCCCGGTTCTCACCGGACCAGGCTCTCACATCACCAAGCGCGAAGCGCCGTGAGGTATTTGGCGAGTCGCATGAAGGGTGAGCTGCATCCTGCCAAGGGTGTTCGGCATCTTGTGCTTACTTCCTTGCGTACGGATGACAGCTACGTATGACTTAATTTATTTTCTGGTGCTTTCACTTCCAGAGACAGTTGTAAGCACTGTGTAACTGCCTCGAGGAAGCTTGACCATTTTAACACAACGTGGTGCGATCATCCCCCGTTGCGCGGGGGGGGGGGGAAAGGGTGGGGCGGTGTATTGTAGCACTACACCATTTGCCGTTCGCGACACGAGAGGGTTGTTGTAGATGCACAAGCATGGCGAAATGTCGGCATGACGCCGGGAATGGATGTCATGCCATGGTACCAGCGTCACCTACTTGTCCATTGAAGCCTCTAGTCGAAAACCGAAAAAAAAAAAACTGGCCGGTTGTACATATATATAGGGATGTTTCTCAGTAAAAGGCAGCAGCGGAACAGACTCACATCGCCGTACACAGGAGAGCAAACAGCATAGCGCAAAGGCGTGTTCGATACGACCGGGAAGGGATAGAAGGTCTACAGAAAGGATGGCAATCGATCGGCGGGTTTGACGTGTTTATTGGTCACCTTTGGTCGGATTTTGAACCGACTTGCGCGTGAGCGCGATGCGCGATGGCCGACGTGTGGAGTAAGCGATACTTGCACACTTTAAATAGCGTCACGAAAAAAACTCTTCAGGGAGGGTGAGGTCTGCTTACGCTAGAACACCTGGGATTGTGGAACCAAGGCTAAACGACGGCGAAAAATAATTTAAAAACACAGAACGGCGACTAGGAAAAAAATGGCCACCGAACTACGTATCTTGTAGAGCCTGTTACCCACAGGAAGCACAGGCAGTGCTCTGCTAAATTCATTGGTACCAAATATCCTAGACCCTAATCTGTGGAAAGAGATGGATTAAAATTAAGAATAAATAAATAAAAGAGGACTGGGTGGATATGCGTACCTGTGCCTGAGCGGACTCGAGCAGCGAAGAGGACGCACCGCTCTCCGCGGCTGCTCTCGCAAGGATAGCGGCGTCCTTGCCGAGGGTCCGGATCGGTGCCAGCGATCTCCGGAGAACCTCAACGTCGTCGCCCGCTTCTTCAACCTTCAGGAGGTCGCCGAGAACTTGGTCGAGCATTTGGCTGCGGTTCGGTTTGCGGTTAGACCCGCGGAGAGACACAAGATGGGGGGGG